CCTCGAAAAGAGCCGACATTCCAATAGGAAGAGACAGAAAGAGAATAATAAACACAGGAAGCCCATCATCTCGTGGGAGAGGGGACAAGGAGGCCGGTGCAGCTGGGAATAGTGGGTGCAGAAAGGTCTCCTGGAGAAAGAGAATGTGAGGAGCAAAGGCTTGAAGGAGGTACAGCAGAGAGGCTTGTGGGCCACTGGGAACACATGCTCTTCTTCGTGGGCCACTGGGAACACATGCTCTTCTTCGTTCTCTCCTTCGTGCAGTGATGGATCATGCCGTGGCCACGACTTCATTCCTTTGGTAAACAGTTCATTAAGCAAAAGGGAATGAGGCATCGTAGAATAGGAGTGTGTTGAATCAAAGAACTCACCCATAACCAATAACTTACTCACGAGAACCAAAGACAGGCCCCATAACTCCCCTATAAGTATGGATACAAGTTGTCCCAGAAACCACAGAGCTGTCCTACGACCTAGAGGTAACCAGGCCATTTAACTTTTGCATCTTCCCTTCCAGCCTCTGTCTGTTCCCATCACTTACCGTCGGTAAGAGTCAGTGTTCTGTGATCCTAACCTTAAGACGCTGAGATTCGGGGGTTGTTTTTTTCTGCCTATCGTGGGATAGGCATTTTTCCTCTGGCCTTTCACAGTCTCCAAAGCCATCATTATCGACACGGGTGGGATGCATGGGGTCAGTCTCAAAAGCCTGCCAGCTAAAGCAAGGCTGCTTCCAATGTCCTTGAATTACAGTCTCCCAGGTAACAAGCGGGCTCCATAGCTCAGTGGTTAGAGCACTGGTCTTGTAAACCAGGGGTCGCGAGTTCGATCCTCGCTGGGGCCTTTTGCTCGCGCTTTTTTTTTTTTTGGTCATTATCCCGCATAAATACAAAACAGAAACTGCAAAGCGGAAAAGTCACCTCTGCCTACGTTACCCCGCACGATGAAAAGCGGCTCCTCCTGAAATGCCAACGACGGCTTTGGATGTGACGCGGAAGAGAACGCGCTGGCCGCAACAAAGAGCAGAAAGAAAGGGAAAAAAGAGGAAAAAGAAAGACACAGAAAGCCATCCTCGG